TAAAAAACAACTAATTTGATACAAAGTTTAAAATTTAAAACTCTAAATTTAAAAATTAATAAAGATGATATGAAGATGGCATGAATAAAGTCATCAGGAAAATGATCCCTTTTATTTTGCTTGCCTTATCTATTTAATCTGAATTAAATTTAGAGCAATGCTGTGAAAACATATACCAACTACATAAAAATGAAATATGCTGTCCTTCAAATATAAACATGCAAAGATGATACAACTACCCCACTGACAGTAGTGAGCACTTCCTGATTTCCCTCTCACCTACTAATAACAGTGATTAATTTTATTACTGCTAAAACTATAACATCTTCCCTAAGCTATTTTTATAAGAAATAAAATTACAATTTTAACATTTTTGCTTCAATTATAGATTATGGCCCATATAAATGCCTCACTATGTAGTAAATATGTTATACTGCATCTCAAAACTGCCTCCATATTTTTTTAGTATAATGAATAAAATCTATAAAACAATAAAAGCAATATCCTCATTTGATATATATAGTTTATTATTACTGAATAATCCACATTTTAAAATTTAGTTCTATAGTAAGGAATCTTGTGATGTTTGAATGGGATCTGGATTCAAACAAAATATCACAGAATAAAATTTCTCTGCAGAGAGCCTGTTGATTTGACTGCAGACTAAATACCATAATTACACTGGAATGAAGCCTTAAAAAAATCTAACAACTGGCAAACAGAACTATATTTAAATGTCAAAGAAAGATATAAGTTCATTAAATCTCAGAAGATAGGATGTCCTTCTTGACACTTCAGTTTCAAAACCACACCTTTTCCAAATATTATAGTTAGTACTGTTTAGGTTATTACTTTGCAATTTAGCTCACAACTCTCAAGTCAAAAAAAATAATAATACAGCCAGAGGGACCACCTGGTAGAGTGTGGGGGACAATGGGCCATGAATGAAATAGTGGCTCCAGACACAGCCTCCCTGAGGACTGTGAGCAGGGAATCCACTTCACCTCCTTGAACTTGTTTGTGCCCTCCTCCGGGAAAACCACACCTGTGGTGCGGTAAGGATAAGAAGTACTGAGCTAGATACAACTGCCGCTATCTATGTGAATTCTGACAAGTTAGCATCTTTGATTTTCAGTTTCACTGTACAGAGACTGAATATTACAAGTTTTAAGGTCCTAGAAGCTCTCAAATGATTTCACTGCCCATGATTTTCACGTTTACCCTACTTCCCAAAGAGTTTTACTGAGAATCAAATAAGGACATATAGGAAAGCACTTTATAAATTTTTATACAAACACAAGTTGCTATCGTTTTATAGATTTTCTTCATTAAAAAACTATGGATATAGTTTTGAGATGCAGTATAACATGTTTACTACATGGTGAGTCATTCATATGGGCTATCCTATACTTTAACCAAAAATATTAAAATCATAATTTTATTTCTTATAAAAATTACTCAGGGAAGATGTTATAGTTTTAATCTTACTAGGATTAGATGATTTATTATTTTGTAATTAAGAATGTAAACTAATAGCCTAATGAACAGTTCCTAAAATAACCATCTAATAAGAGTTGTGTTCAACTTTTCTCCATTCTAACCCATCCCTCAGACACCAGCAGTATTTTTTTAAAATACATTTTACCATATCTCTTTCATAATCATACCTTGGATAACTCTATTTTATCTATGCAAATAAAACTAAAACTCTATTTTATCATACGTCCTCAGTATGGCACGATTTGACCCATTCTACCTTTGTAGACTCAGTTCTCCTAAGCTTATCCGTATCACCATTTCCACCTAAACCAAGACTCAAACCACTCAATGGCCATATCGAGCTCTCTTCTAAGTATTGTTAAAGAAAAAAATATTTAACAATTTTTGTTAAAGCACAGTAAAGAAGACTTTATTCAAGGATATTGCAATAGGTATAGGGATCACTGCGATGGGATTTTGCGGTTGGGGAGAGAGATTGGCTGGACTCTGAAAGCAGTATGGGCAAGAGGGAGAGGGAAGTGGAGGGAAAAGGAGGGATTAAGAACTACCTAGTTTTTCCTAAACAACTGGGTAAATCATGGTGTGAAGTACTGGCATTAGGAAGACTTGCTGGTAGGGGAAGTGGAGATAGAAGGAAGGGTTTAGTTGGCAAGGAATCAAGAGTTCTGTTAGGACGTGTAAAGTTTGAGAAACCTCTTACTTAACTCTTCTATCCCTCTTTATTCCTGTGACACTTTGTTTATAACACGATTTCAGAATATTTCACACTTTGTCTTAATTTGCTGCATACTCATTTGTCTCCCCAACCAGACTGTAAGCTCCTTGAAGGGAAAGACTGTAATATTTACTCCACATCCTAAGGAGAGAGTTTTGAACAAAGTAGTCACTTAAAATGATTTTACAGAATGAATAAAGGTAGTATTCTAGAAACTCCGAGGAATATAAACTAAAGAAAAAAGCAATGCTTACTTTTCTAGCAGTCTCCATTCCCTAGAACCCACCTTGAATAAGGTCAATAGAAGTTATAGGAGAACATAAACTCACTTCAGAGTCTAGCCTTCCAGCATGGAAACCCACTTACATATCATATATATCAAATCAATCCTTGCTCTTAAGTCTCCTCAAAAGAGTGCTAATGGACTCATACGTACTAGTTCTGTGTAAACAGCTTTTCCCTATACCGTACAAAGCCAAACAGATGTGACTTGCATATTTCAGATAAGTTTTCAGTAAGATTTTTATTTTTAAACACTCTATCTACATTATTTGTTTTTGTAGTACTTTCCGATTCTAATAGATTATTGGTGCAATCAACAATACTTAATTACTTATTCCCTTTAAAAAACTAATTTGAACATTGAATAGAATCACATAATTTTTAAGATATTAACTCACCAAAGCCAAAGCACTCATTTACCTGTAGGGATGAGAAAACTGAGGTCTGAAGAAATTGCTCAAGATTCTACATTTAGAAATGGAGCTGGGTCTAGAAACTAGTTCACCTGGTCCAAGGTGCAGGATTTTTCCACAAAGACTGGCTTCTTAATGAACAAAACAGATTAATTTGGCCATTTTGCAATGGACTACATATTTTGCTTTTATAATTTTTCAAGTCAGTGACATCTCAATAATTTTTTTAGGAAGGATATTACTTAAAATGAAGTCAGGCATATTAGTAACCAAAACAAAATCAAATGAAACAGTGTTACCATGTATCATGGTGAAACAGTAATACTTCTGAGACAGTGAACACATGGATGGATAGACATGATATAAATATCCTTGTAACCTATAATATAGCCATGGAAGCTAAAGGGAAACGGAGCCAATTCTATGCATAATTGTGAAGTTTGCAAGGCTTCCCTTTATCATATCCAGCTTTCTCTTTACTCTTTATCTGTTTCAGTGGTAATTCTTCTTCTCATTTCGAAGGCCTTCCTATTCATCCTCTCTGTTTCTTCCTTTAACAATAAATTAAAGAACTTTGTATCTATTATCTAACCTTGTTGCCTAACAGACACAAGGCACTACTTAAATGAATTTTAACCAATATATTAACCCAACCATACATTTACCTTGTAAGCCTTTAATCTTGAAATGAAGTAAAATGTAGAATGAAGAATTTTAGACCTCAGCAGACAGATGGTAGGGTTGGAGTGGTAGAGAGAGGTTCCCTTCCTCCTACTCAATTAAAATGACAAGATCTGAAGGCAAGCCAAATATCTATTTAGGGTGTAAAAAATAGGCTAAAGGGGTAGCTCATGGTGCGCTCTCCACTGGAAATAACAATGACCAACACTATTGCTCCAACTTCTGGTAGATATCAGGAATACTAGAAATTAAAAGTTTCTAAGGTCTGAGGTAATTGTTAATTATTATAGTGATTTGAAATTAGAATTCAAAGTATTTTCAAAGCTAGCTTACACATATTCATTATGTTTACAATATAAATATGTTATATTCATATAGCACCTCATGCTTTTGAAGTGTTTCCATATATGCTACGTCATTTGAACTTCAATAATATATAACATAAACATCATTTCCAGTTTTCAAATGAAGAATCTAAGGTTTTCACAGGTAATAAGGACAATAAAAGGCACAGCCAGGACTGAATATAAGAGTTGTGAATCCAAATATTTTCCCACTATAATATGTAACCTACATAGCAATATTAAAATAATTTGCCTATGTAAATTCTAAATACTTTCAGGTAAAAAAGTGATATTGTCCTCAAATTTCTAAGTAAATTATGTTGATCTTTTCAAGCTCAAGTTTCTTCTTATTATAATCTTTGTCAAAGATAATTGTTTTGCTATTTTCACCTCTCTAAAAGAATTCAGTAACAGAAAAAATACTCTCAAAACCACAGCTAATGAACATAAAAAGTCATCTTTCAAAACCAAAAATAAACATTTCTCAGATGTTTTTTCTTTGATATCTTTTGAAAACCTTATTGAAATTCATTTAAAATTTAGCCTAAAAATTAGCCATTGTGTGGTTCATTTCAACTCGGTGATTCATGATTCATGTAGATTTCTGTAACTAGCTTTGCATATTTTATTAATTTGCCAATGTTAAAGGGATGTGATATCATTGCAAGTTATATCTTGTTTCTGCCAAAATTTCTTTTACCCTGGCTTTCCTTGAAATGAATTATAAAATGGGATTATCTATAGACTATGGCTCTTTTATTCAATTGAGAAATTGAATCACATTTAATGTCATACAGGTATAAAACTCACATTTTGCTACTTTAAAATTATTATTTGCTCAACAGAACACAGGTTCAGAGTATCTACTGTTAAAGTTACTAAATCCAAATTTACTTTTGAAATAATTTTGATTTTAAGAAAAAAAGAGATGCTAGAATTGAATTCATCAAGTGTGAAAACTGACCATTACAATACTACAAGCTTTATTTCTAAAGATAAATAAGTGATAAACACAAATAGTATCTGAACATTTAAAAGAATAGTCAAAGTAAGAAAGGGGCTCACCCGTCTCAGGGAAACCAAACTGATGTAAAATTTCTTGAGTGGTCAGCATGTTTGACTGTTTTAACTTAGTCTGTTGTGAGGAGGCTGGTGGTGGTGAAGTAAACGAGAGATTTTTGTTGACCTGTAATAGGAAAAGCAAATCAGAAACTACAGCGTAATTTCCTGGGTTACTGATGCAAAAACTGGATGAGAAATATCTGTTTACTATATAAAACAGGACCCATGGTAGGTCAAAAGGAGTAGTAATGATTTATATGGTTAGTTTGTAAAGTTTACAAAATAGTTTTCATCAAGGAAGGAACACAATGGTAATGAAAGCATAACTATATGAAAATAAATCACCCTTACTAAAGTTTATCATGGAATTGTAGATACAAATGCCACTATCTATGTGAATTCTGACAAGTCAGCCTCTTTGATTTCCAGTTTCACTGTACAGACACTGAATAATACCAGTTTTAAGGTCCCAGAAGCTTTAAAATGATTTCACTTCCCATAATTTTCATGTTTACTCTACTTCTCAGAGAGTTTTTTTGAGGATCAAATGAGGGTATATAGGAAAGCAGTTTATAACTTAAAACAGAGTACTCTTAAGTTACACAAAGAAATTCAAAAAATAAAAATGACTGTTTTCAATTATAGAAGAGTTAAAATGTTTCACATTCACATTTCTCTAGCATTTTAGTAAAACAGCAAGTACTTCCTTTTCAGAGACTACAGAGAAAACACCTGTACTACTCATGTTTATATACATCATGGTGACACAGATAACACAGCTGTAACCTAACTTGCCATGTGAAATAGTTTCCATTGCACCAAGCACCTTATTCTTAAGACACTGTTTAAAAACAGCATTAAAATAATAATCTAGCAAAATTTCTGTAAGTAAATAACCATGTTCTACGACACACAAAACCTACTATGATTCTCTAAGGACAGCGGTCTCATAGAAATGAAATGCACAATAAGTGCAACATTTTAACTGTAGCTTTTATAAAAGAATAAAGAAAAGTTTACTAAAAAGTTTGAAATATTTATTAGTAAATTCATCTTGTAAATTAGAACTAATTTCAGGTAAAATCTAGTCTTTTGTTTATGATTAATAAATCATTCATTGTGTCTTTTAAAAATCATTTTTAAGAAGCATGATAAAATATAATCTATTTTTTAAAAATGGAAACAGTCTGATTTTCTAATTTGTTGCAAAAATGTAATTTGTGAATTAACAAAATTATAAATAATTTATGGCATATAAATATTAGTATATGAAAATTGCTCCTTTCCCGTTTTTTGTTTATGTAATCGAAACCACACAGAAGACTTCTGCTGCATTACTACTTTAAAATTCCTTTTTGATATTCTGTATCAGATAATATTGGGTTGTGGTTACAAGCTCTTTCTCTGACTCATTATTTACATGTTTGCAAATGCTTTTTTTCTTTCAAAGAGTGATAATAAATGGTGTGTGTTAGCATACGTTTTTCTCTTAGAGCAGAGGTTTAGCAGATCTGGTAAAAAAAAATCAATTAAGACCAATACTAATACAGTTCTAAAGTACCTAAACTGTTATGATGTCATCCTATAAAAAATAAAAATATTTTTCAAAGTAGTTAGAAGGGGTCAAATACTACACCAGTGCTAAAATATTAACCAGCTTTAAAAATCCTATCAGAATCCATTAAACATTGACTAAAATTAATGTTGACTATTTATAGTAATACAATACCTAACAAATTCACTTAATATCGTTGAGCTTCATTTTCCATCTTTAAATCGAGATAATAACAAAATTAATACCTATGCTTCAATGGGAATGTGACAGAAAAGCAATAAGTTGGTATCATAAGGGGCTATTCATATGTTAACCATAAAGCACTAAATAATAAGAAATAGATTATATAGAACATATTGGCAAAGGCAAATCATAAAGTATTACGCAAATAAAGTGTTATATAAATATCAGTTATTATTATTAACATCATGAGAAGTAAGGGTAATTAGGTATATCTAATGTAGCATGATGATGCAGCAAATTTTTCAGAGTTCTACGCTCTTAAATGGAATTACTATATACAAAAGGACATATTTATTACATAACTATCTAATTACCTTTCTTTTTAGAACCATTTCTCATTTTTCTTCTGTGTTCTTGAAAATTTTTACCCTACATGTCAAATAATGCATTTTAAAAACTGGTGCAAACAGGTATATGCTGAGGATATGCTATATAATATATATATGTATATACACACATACATATAATGTGCCTTTTATAGTCTTCCACTTCAGAAATTTGTGTTAAGACAAAAAAGAATACCAGGAAAGCTACAATAGGACACTTAAATGTCTCTGCTCAAACAGAAATATTTGTTACTCTTTTAAAATAAAATGTTATTAAAAAAACCTATAATCCTACTATTTTATGTTCTTCCTAAGCATCTTATATTTCTACTCTTTCTTGACACATTCCTTTAGAGACTATTCAAATGTCCATAAAGTGATGAGTAGTAACATAATAGTCCAGATAACTCAATTTCTAACTTTTGGGATAACTATTAATTATTATTGTTATTATTAGTAATTTGTTTTGAAATTAGAATTCAAAGAATTTTCAGAGCTAGCTTACACATATTTACCATTTTATTTAGAGGGAGAAAAATAATAATAATCATTAAATAGAGTGAAGCAATATCTATTTTTGAAATATATGCTGTGGAAAAGAATTGCTTAATAATTTTACAACAACAGAAAGGTTGGCCAAGATAGTCTACCCTATGCCAACCTACCCTCTTTTCACAACACAGTTTTCTGCTTGCTTCATGCAAAAACCACAGTCTGCCAAAGTCAGTTTAATACCTCCATATTGGAGAAAACTAAAAGCATAAAACTTTAATAAAATTCATAATAAAGAGAAAAAATCATCTAGAACTTCTATGAAGTTAATCGCAAAACTGTCTTATTTACTCTGTTAGGGTATAAGCAGCTCACACAAAATATGCAAATATTAATTCTCTAGGAGGGGGTTAATTTTCATGTTAAAAAACTTATTATCCCAAACATAAAATTGCACAATACTAAACAAGCTGACAATTAATTTCTCTTTCAGTGATTAGTTAACATTTAAAAACTTTGGGTGAGATATAATAGTCATTTCCATATAAACTTATAAGTCTAATAATTTTAGCTGATTTTACATTACATGCTGCATTCACCTGAAGTAGAATTGTTCATGAAGTCTCAAGCTGTGAAGACATCTCAAACTGGTTTTAAATGATAATTGAAAGGATGTTAGTGCTGTCTATATACTTAAAATTTCACCTCTCCCCCCAAGACAGCTGCCATTTTTCCCACTAAATCTGAACAATATTGCAGATAATATTTTAATATGAAGACAGTTCTGGTGGTATTGGAAAAAAAAAAAAGAAATCAACAATACCCAGGAAATGTTTTGTTGCAAATCATGTATCTGTTGTAAAAATTAAAATCCCAGTATTAAAGAACAAGTTAAACCGAAAACTTGAGCCAAAGTGAGAGTCAAGATATATCTGAACTCAAGATATTTTTTACATTCTCATGCAATAAATTCTAAGAGCAGCTTATGTTCCTGTGATTTCTAGGTTAGTAAAATCTAAGAAATGAGTAGCAATAAACAGCAACTCAAACAGGACCTCTAGGCCCTCAGATGTTTTCTTTACAAGCCAGGGCAAAGAAGTGAAAGATTCGAAAGAAACACTGTAATAGTCAAAGCAAAATTTTTATGGTGGTAAAATGTCAGAGAATCTACCCCCAGACCAGTTCATTAGTACATTAACTAAAACCAGAATTCAAATTGAAATCAATCACTATAAAGTTTTATTAATATTTTGTAATGTTTAATCAAGATTTTTTTAAGCTTCTGACAGATACTAAAGACTGGTGGCTCAAAGGTTACTGACATGATTCCTCCATGTGAAGTTCAAAATTAAGATCCAGTCCTGGCTCAAACCAATTATCCAGCAATATACCTTAGGGTAAGGCAATTCACCTCAATGCATCTCAGTTTTCTCCAAACCTTTACTGCCTATCTCTTAGTATATTGCTTTACTTCACAGAGAAAATTTGGTCTTGAACCTCTGTATTGCCCCTAGATGCATACCCCAGAGAAATGAAAATATACGTCCACACCAAAACTTATACACGCAATATTCATTCTAATTAAAAAAGTAGAAATAATCTAAATATTCATAAGTTGATGAACAGATAACAATATGTAACATATCCATACAACGGAATTATTTGGCAATAAAGAGTAGTACAACTGACTCTTGAACAGCAGAGCTTTGAACGCATAGGTCCATATTTATAGGTGGATTTTTTTCAGTAAAAGTTACACCAAGTGTGCCTGCCTTTCCTGCCTCCCGTTCTACCGCCTTACCTCCTCCACCTCACCTCTTCTGCCACCCCTGAGACAACAAGACCAACCCCTTCTCTTCCTCCTCCTCCTCAGCCTATTCAACATGAAGACAAGGATAAAGACCTTTATGATAATCCACTAGCACTTAACGAATAGTAAATATATTTTCATTTCCTTATGATTTTCTTAATAACATTTTCTTTTCTCTAGCTTACTTATTGTAAGAATACAGTATATAATACAAATAACATAAAATATGTTAATGGACTATGCTATCAAGTTTTTGGTCAACAGTAGGCTATTGGTAGTTAAGTTTTTGAGAAGTCAAAGGTTATACGCAAATTTTCGACTGCACAGTGGGGGTTGGTGCCCTGCATTGTTGGTCAATGGTATTGGTACATATTACAAATGGAAGAATCTTCAAAACATTATTTTGAGTGAAAGAAGCCAGTTACAACTGACCATATATCATATGATTCCATTTATATGAAATGTCCAGAATAGGCAAATCTATTGAGACAGAAAGTATATTAGTAGTTGCCAGGAGTTTGGGGTGTGTGCCAGGAGTTTGGGTATGTATGTATAGGAATTAAGAATGACTGCTAAGAGACATGGAGTTTCATTCAGGGGTGATGAAAGAATTCTAAAATCAGATAGTGGGGATCGTTGCAAGATTCTGTGAATATAGTAAAAACCAATGAATTGTATACTTTCAAAGGGTCAATATTATGGTATGTGAATTACAACTCAATAAAACTGTTATAAAAAAAGAATAACTGAAGAGACTCTAGTAAGGTTAATCTTTCCAGACCCTTATTAATTTCAAAATATGTAATCATTTTTTTTCAATGAACATTTATTCTCCTGTTGTTAAATACTAGGGATATGAAGACAAATGATGTGATCCTTCACCCTTGGGGAGTTTCCAGATATGGAGAGGCCATTCAATATAAGCCCTGCTAAATGTGTGCAAGACCCCTTTACTCTTTTGACATTCAGACAGCATTCAAAAGAAAGGTAGGCAGTGTATTTGTTAAAATAAAGATAAACAGCTTTGAATCGTCAGTCAGAAAATAATCTTTTTTTTTTTTTTTTGTCTACTGTTTTATACACTATGCATACTTAAGAAGGCTTAGTAATCTTGGAGCTACAATCATTACACCAATCATTACTATCAGGAACAAGTTTCCTGAACATCTGCAGCCTAAGTCAGAATATAGCTTGTTCTCTTTTTCCCCCTTGTCTTCCTTCCCCTTGTCTATATTCTATATCCTGTTGACTTGTGATAATTAGGTAAAAAAAAGTGATCAGTTTTGACTGACATTAGACAGCTCAGTAATGGGGTAAGCCCAGTATTTTCTGACATGTTTCGTCCATAAAATGACCCGTGAGGAAAGAGATAATAGCCTACTGCATCCCAAGTGCCTGCCACATGATAGTACAGGTGCCATCTGATTAAAAAAAAAAAAAAATTCACTGCGTTGACATTAAATGAAGCAGTTTTTGAACATACTAACACCAATTTAATTCTTTTCCTCTGGGTTACTTTGTGATATATAATTATATTTGATAAATGAATGGATATCTAGTTATTCAACTGAATTTTTGGAGTAGGCAGAAGAAAAGAAGAGGGAAGGATGAACACATGGTGGCATTCCATCTCTTTAATTTGTTTTCTTAACAACTGAGTTACAGGTTGTATATAAAATAACCTGGCTTGTAAAAGCCAGAAAGCTGTTATGTTGAAAGCATCTAGAATACAATTTAGTTGAAACTGTAATCAAGAGCCTTTTGTATACTACCATTTTTAGACTAACTTTGGGACCTTGGACAAATCACTTAACTTCAGTCTTCTCCTTTCTAAAATTGGAGTAACAATAATATCTAATCTGTCTCTCGGGATTGTTATATAGTATAGTTAAATGACAAAAGAAGTGTGAGAGACTTTTATATATGATGAAGAGCATTATCAGCACAATATATCATTTGTGTGCAGCTTGCATGCATTTCAATGCTTACACAATTTACTCAGCATATACCCACTGGAACTGCATTGGTCTGTGTTTCTTACATATTAAGTATCAAATAAAATTTTTCTCAGAGAATAAAATGACCTTGCTTGTTCCTTACTTAAAGTATATCCCACTCACTTAATGGTCTGAAATCCTTAAAAATGTGAAACTAATTGCTACAAATGTTCACCCTTACTGAATTCTCAGGTTCCAGTATTATAACTCTTTGATAAATTCAAGCCCCGACAAAGATTATATTAACTTCTGTAAAGGTTCTAAATTCCTTGAATGGTGCATTCCAAATCTTTGGTGCATCACAATGAAAACTATAGCTTTAAAGTTATCCTGGTAATAAAAATTACTTACTTTTGCAGCACAGGATCGTATCACCTCCTGAAAGAAATACAATACAATAAAGAAGTATTCATAATTTCAAGTATATAAACTATTGACTATTTTCAAAACATTCACATATTAATTTTCTAATAGCCAATATCAGCATTTGGAAGAATTTCTTTATCTATCACCCTGCAGTTGTTACTCTGTATTTTTCCAATGAGCTGGAAAGAGTATAAATTTAAAGAAAGAGAACTAATGACATGTTCATGATAAATCTAAATTGCCAAAGCAAAAGGCACTGACAGACTCTTGAGGACCCACATGTATCTGCCTCAAGAAAAACTTGTCTCCTTAATAAACTTAGCATAAATACTAAAATTCTATACTAGAACATTAATAGGTCTAAGAGACATGGTAAGTTAATTGCAATATATAATTATCTCTATAAATAACAATACCCCAAAATATAATTCCCATATTAATAATTTATATCAGATAAAATCTAATAGTAAATACTACTGAATGGTAAAGTATGACTAGTATTGAAGGAGCTACAAAAAGGAACTGCCTACAATTCATGGGACAAGCCCAAAAAAAGATTGTTTTTGAAAGAGAAACCAGAAAAAGTCATCATATAATAGACAATTTGAAAATGGGCTGCTAAGGAGACATCAAAAATACTCAAGTCCAATTAGGGTTAACCAGAATATATCATCAGCCTAGTACAGATCTAGACAAAAATGGTAATAATATGGAGTTTAGAAAAAAGAGAACTGAAAAAGAGAAACATAAATTTTTTTACCCAGAAATTTCTAAGGGACAGACACTGTGTTTAAAGGATATTGGTAATTCAATCACTAAAAGGATACAGAAAAACTGACTGTGAACACAGGAATCTAACTACCTGGACTGTATCCCAGCTCCAATGCTTACTACCTGTGTGATGTTGGTTAGGTTGCTTGATCTCTGTAAGCCTCAAGTTCCTCTTCTGGAAAATGCGGATAATACTAGTACCCAACCCTACAGAATGGTACATTTTATTGTAAAGCAATAAAATGCTTAACACAGTACAAGGAATACGTTATGTTAATTATTACTAATATTTAAATGAAGTTATCATTAATCAATAAAAGGTGAAATTTCCTGCAGGGTAGAGAAAATTAATCAATCTTTTTTCAAAATTAGCATAAAACATTTTCAAATCCATCCAATCCCCTACTCCTGTGTCTCTGCTTAACAATCAACTCTGTGATCATTAGCTTGGGTTTCAGGCTAAATTTTAGAAAGGGAGAGTGGTCTTGAGTGTTCAGGAAGCTGGAAAGGTCTATCTTTCATTATAGGGTGTCACTTAATGGATTCTGAATGGTTTATAAATCAATGTTCTGTAGGACTGATTACTCTTAATGGGTACTCCAGATTCTGAGCAACTCTGGATGCACTGAAAGATCAGTTTTCTGGATCTGAAAACTTAGAATGATTTGTATCAATGCTCTCAAGATACTGTCCCTCTGTGCTGTCTTACCTGATTTGCAGAATGCTTTTTAGATACTGCTATAGCAGCAACACGCAGTCAAGTCTGTTAACTATGAAACAATTAAATGATTTATATTACGACTAAATGGTAATGCTCCCAAGGATAGAGAATTATCTATTCTTTGTATCCTTTACTCATGAGTAAACACCTATTAAACACCTGCTGAACTGAATTTATTATGCAATTCACACACACACACAAAAAATCACACTCTAAACTTGTACTATAATTTATTAAAAAATATTCCTGAGGCCGGGCGTGGTGGCTCACGCCTATAACCCTAGCACTCTGGGAGGCCAAGGCAGGAGGATCCCTTGAGCTCAAGAGTTTGAGGCCAGCCTGAGCAAGAGTGAGACCCTGTCTCTACTAAAAATAGAAAAAATTAGCCAGGTGTGGTGGTGCATGCCTGTAGTCCCAGCTACTCAGGAGGCTTAGGAAGGAGGATTGCTTGAGCCCAGGAGTTTGAGGTTGCTATGAGCTAGGCTGACACCACAGCACTTGCCTGGGCAACAAAGCAAGACTCTTGTCTCCAAAAAAAAAAAAAAAGAAAGAAAAATATTCCTATTGTAGTAACAAAAAAACACAAAAAGGAATTTGGGATCTACTGAAATACAATGATAAGAAATGAGAAAAGGCATAGTGACAAAAAGTAGGAACCCAATCAAACTAAATGCTTACAAAATATAAAAAGGATGGAGCTGCCACAGCAATAAAAATGACATTTTGTTTTTATTCCCATACATACTACATACACTCTGAAAGAAAATACATTCAGTGAATTTTCTCAAAGGAAAAATAATGTTTTGTTTTTTTTTTTAAACCATAGCAAATAGACAAAGCTTTGATTTTCAAAGGCAGCCTCTATTTACCTCAATCCCAAAACAGACATATTCTCTTAATATATAAGAAGAAAAGATTTGGTAAAAACTAAATAATGATTCTAAGAGAAATGTTTTCTTTTATTATAAACTATCAATTTACTTCCCCCTTGCCTTTGATTTCATTGCTTAAAAAATATTTTTCTGATTTTATTTTTCCTTTATAGATCTATTGGTGAGTTGTTCTTATGTCTGTAGATGAGGTTATTTTGTCATGTAAGATTTTAGATAAGGAATACTTTCTCTTCCTCATGAAGAAACATTTTTCTCTTTATCTTTAAAACTCAATGTATCTATTCAGACCTTCTTTTAAAATCTGGAACACCATGCATTATTTGATTATATTAAAGTGTTAAAACATAAAGAACTACAACATTGAAATAATTTATTATTTATAATAAATTTACAGTTATATAATATAAAAAGTTTAATCTATATTTCAACATATATTCTGAGTTTAAGTTAAATCTAAACCCAAAGACTGAGTATGATCTGCACTGAAGTCCCTACCTTTCTAAAGAAAGAAAAGGAGAGAAGAGAGCATGGTCAGAACTAAAGCTGTCTCAATATAGTTCCTTTTCTGTTTGGTTTAAAACTGGTCAAGATTTCTATCAAGGGAGGAAGGAAAGGGAGTAATATTTGTTAAGTTACAGGCACTGTGCTGGAAGGTGAAAACATAACAATGAATAAGGCTACACAGTCCCTGTCTTCAAGGAGCTCAAGACTAATTCTATTAACATTACTAATATGACCAAAGAGGATAAATATATTTAAAGATGCTTAGGTTTCCTTATACATTTTACCATTTATTTTTGAGGAAAATTTTCTAGCAATTTTCACAACAGAATGCCACACTACCTTTAACAAAGTGTGCTCCTCCCCATCATATTCATTACTTTCCAGTTTTATGGACACCTGGATTCTGTGGCACTTCT